TGTTTGAAACGTCAAATCCATTCTAAAAAGCAAAGAAAGATGACTTGAAATTTTCCCTTGACATTTTCGTCATAGGTATTCCTAACACTTCCAGGTTTCCCTTACTTTTTAAATTTCCCCGATATTTCCTAGTATTCCCTGACTGTGGCAACCCTGGCTATGTATGCTCGTCTTCACTCTTCGGATCGAGCTTTTAACGTGCGTTGAAAAAAACGAGAGTTCCCCTGTGAGATGATCTGACCACACTGCATTCCAATATGCATCGTGCGTCAAAGTGCAGGGGACCGATGCGATGGTTTCGATTGATTCCTCGCTCGATTTCCCCCGGAGGCTCAACAGTAATCAAAGTGGTCATCGGTGCACGTGCATCAGGACCGAAACACCCTCAGTGTAATCGCTTCATACAGCTCCCTCTTCTCATCCTGGACACGTCGCTGTAGCCCTGTTTCCACGATCGAAATAGGACATCGATGCGACTCTTGTGTGCTGTCCATCAAAATTAAAAAGCACCCCACTTTTTGATCAACATAATCTGCGAACTGAGTATCGAGTAAATTGATGTATTTCTGCCAAACGGAACGATAAACGAAAGGAGACTAACCAACGACAACCTACTAGAGACCTCAATTCATCAACCCGCAGGCTGATCGTTGATCTCGATAGACAAAGCTATAGATAAAGAAGAAAAAAAGGATATGGATGGATCCTATTCGTAGCGATGGAAAAAGGAGGTAAGTAATAGACTAATTAACAGCAACCCATGAGAGATCCTATGGTTTAGCCTATCGTTTTCTCCCTTAGTCTATAAGAACCAATTCAACCAATAGGATGGCTCAACATTCCTTATGTCCTCTGTGTCTAGCGCTTTGTCTATCAATTCAAACAACCAGCCCGCAGTCCCGTTTTCCCCTTGCAAAGTTCACAACAATCACCCGTTTCAACCAATAAGATCGCTTCACTTTCCCCTGTGTCATATTTGTTTATAGCTTGTCTATTGATTCCAATAATCAGCTCGCCGAGTGAGACGGAGCCGCGTTTCTATTCCCTGCATCGCGAATCCCGTCGAACTCCAGGAGTGAATCTTCGCCGACATCGAAGAGCGCAGAACCGCGTGCTTTGCGATGTATCGATTGATCTGCCATTTAAACCTATGGAAAAGGATCGATAAACATGGTGTTTGCAACGAACACCTTAATAATCGATTCTTTGCCATGGATCGTTTTCGATAATGGTTCGATGTATCGTTTGGTTCAAAACAATAGAACATAACCTCAATCGAAACTTTCAGGATTTCAGTCGGAAAAGCTGAAAATGAGAAAATTCCTAACTATTTCACCTTGCGATGCCATTTAGTACTCATAAGAATCCAAAATCTATCCGAAAAATTCCGTTTCCTCAGATTAATCGATTGACTTTTGAGTCTATGTTTACATGTTGAACCAATCGATATCGATACAATCTCACCTATTTGATGTATCGAAAATTATCTATAGCTTTAAATGGCGAATACGATAGTCGACCGCACGCCTCACCAGAGGGAACCGCTCCGCATTCCGCGGGTTCCTACGACCGGAACGGATATGCAATCTCGTCCGGAGACTCCATGATGTCCAGATGGAGCACCAGGAGCCCCGGGGAATTATGTACCGCGGGCATGAAGGTGGAGATGATAGGAGCCGGTAATGAGAGTCTCCAGCTGACGGACTTGACCAATTTATTTCGCCTTCCTACTCCGTTGCCAGGTGGCGCCACTGAACTTGAGTAAAATATTGCTGTAGAATTGGACTGCATTTTGCAATTTGGTACTATAAATTCTGGCTCATCTGAAAAAACACTTATGTGCGTAGGGAAACTAATGGCACATGCGTTGTTTTGAAATCGAGCCGGAATTTAAAGTTCCTTATGGCAAAATGCAGTTCAATTTATAATCCCCGCGAAAATCAATGGGACAATTTTCTCCTGAAGGATACATAGTATTCGATAGGGGTTCGAAATCGTTTGAGTCAAAACAATAGTACATCAAACAAAAATTTTAGGTTGGAAAAGCTGAAAATGAGAAAATTCCTAAAAATTTCACTCTTTATTGCCGTTTTGTACTTATAAGTATCAAAAATCTATCACAGAGAACCCGTTCCCTAAAATTACTCGATTGACTTTTGAGGCTATCTTTACATATTGAACCAATGGATATCGATACAATCTCACCTGTTTGGGGTATCCTGGACAATGCTTAAAAGTGGCGCCAGCTCTCCCACTTACATTACGACTCAATGTACTCGATGATCGAAATCGATGAAATGTTACGCCCGAAAAGTTATAGCGTTTTCAGAAAAGTTTTGAAGGAAAATCTCGATTGCAGTTTGAAAGTCAACCAGGGTTCAACGACGAAATATTCTCGAATTTAACTTAAATATCCCCAATTTAGTAAAATATCCCGATTTCTAAGTCACGAACTTTAAAACTTAATTGTCCAAGGACTCCGCGAGATGTCACGAGTCCTGCAATGGCAGCTTTCACTGTATCTTTTCCAGGCAACCGAGCAACATCGCCACCGGTCAGAAAGTTGAAAATCACGAGGAGGAGCGCTCTCTTCAGGGAGGAGAGAGGAACGTTCCGAGACGGCGAGAGGCTTCGCAGAACTGCGTTTTTTTAGGGACTTGAAACCGGCTCGGTCCGCCGCGCATAGCCTTTATCGGTTTTTTCTACGTTTTCCGACGGACCGACCGGAATAAGCCAATGGAACCAGTCAGCTCTGAAGCAGAACTCGTCTATTTTTAGAAAAGCCATAAAGTACCTGGGAATCCTTCAGCCTTACCGAAAGAAAACGGCGTGCGAACATCCCGATGTTGTCAAATTTCTCCTGATAAAATCTTCATTATTAAGGGAAGCCATGAATATTCTTTCTTAAGGACATAATGGAGATGTTGCATGTGTGAGGAATTTGCGATTTGACTGTTGATTCGTATGTAACAGTTCGCGAGAAACGCGATGATTCCTATGGTTTTCTCTGAAATCAACTCCCAAGCCCAAAAAAACCTCTAAAGTTGAGGCCAAAATGGAGGGGATATCCAACGCTATCCGGAGAGTCCAGAGTCCACCTCTACATCAAAACAAACTCTCCATGCAAAGATAGGGAGCAAATACATTAGCAAGGTTGCCGTGTTTTCAGTTGTGGAGTTCCCAAATGAAGTGGCAGCCCTGTCAATGTATTTGCTCCCTATCTTTGCATGGAGAGTTTGTCTTGATGTAGAGATGGACTCTCAGGATAGCGTGGAATATCCCCTCCATTTTGGCCTCAACTTGAGAGCTTTTTTTGAGCTTGGGAGATGATTTCAGAGAAAACCAGTGGCACCATCGTGTTTCTCGCAAACTTTTACATCAGAATCAACAGTCAAATCGCAAATTCCTCACACATGCAACATCTCCGTTGTCGGTCTCTGAGCCCGAAACGGACGGTCCGTCTATTCTATACAGCCCGTAACTTTTTTTTTCAGTGTAGTATTTTATCGAGGGAAATTTGGCAACGCCGGAATGCTTATACGACGTTTGTCCTCCGCACGTCAGATAAGAATACCAGCTCATCTACAAATGGAGCTCGTTCCTTCTCGGAGAATAGGCGTTCTCTTTCGAAGGAGGGTCGATGCCCGACGGCTCGGCCCGGCCAAAGCGCTCAACCGCTCGGGGAACCGCGAGGAGATGCACGGTTTTTCCGAAGGAGCGGGGGAGCAGTTTAAAGTTTACGTTTCAATAAGTCAACTTTATGGAGCATTGTCCGCGGAGGAAAGCCGGCGATTTACCGGGCGGCGAGCTTCCCTTTTTGTTCGATTCGATTGTGTTGTGTTGTTTTGTGTCGGCGCGCGACGGACATCTGCTCGGGGACGACGATTAGTTCCTCTCATTGAGTACGGACTGGCACTTGTCTCATGAATGACTGCAAGTACCGCGACCGCAGGAATCTGGAGCCGGCTCATCGTCGTCCGGAGACGAGAGTATTCATGGCGGCTTCTGTTGGTTCGTGAATGCCGATGGCTCTTTCGACGAATGGAATAGTTGCTGGCTCGTTACTAAGAGTGATAGACAAAGCTATTGACAAAGTTGTAGACAACGCTGTGGACAAAACGATAGACAAAGCTGTAGAAAGACGAATCGATTGACAAAAAGAAAATCGGAAGATGCTATCGGTAGAACTGCCGTGCAACGCAAAAACGCCGTAAACGCCATTTTACATTTTTTGGGGAAAATGTATCATGGCAGAGAAACTTGTATACTTTGGGACAATGTTTTTACAAAATCCTGTCGCAAGTACTATCAAGAACTTAACCTGAAAATTTGAGGTGCATGGGTAAAACGGTTTTTATTTTACAAAGTGTCAAAGTCCCAAAAAGCGAGGGTAAATCTTGATGGATTCGCGGCGTTCTTGCTTATTGCACAGCAGAGAAGCGGGTGGTTGCGATGGATAAAGGGACAAGTAATGAATTGGCTTTTGTTGGTTCGTGAATGCCAACGGCTCTTTCGACGAATGGAGTAGTTGCTGGCTCATTATTTAAATTGACGGACAAATCTATAGACGAAGCTACAGACAAAGCTGTAGACAAAGCGATTGACAAAGGGAAAATCGAAAGATGCTATTGGTAGAAGCGAGTGGTTGCGATGGACAAAGAGGCAATTTATGAATTGGCTTCTTTTGGTTCGTGAATGCCGATGGCTCCTCCGGTGAATGGAGTAGCTGCTAGGCTCATTATTCAAATTGATAGACAAAGCTATTGACAAAGGTATAGAAAAAGCTATGGACAAAGCTATGGACAAAACTAAAGACATAGCTATAGACAGAGTTGTCTACAGACATTTGCTCCATTCCTCGTCGTCCTCTTGGTCTGCCAATTTCAAAAATCTTGAAAAAAAATCGATTTCAAAATTTTTGTATAGATTTAAATGGAGGGAAAACAATGGCGTCAACTTGCAAAATCGCCACTTGAGTAAAAGTAGTAAAAGACAATTACCTCGATTTCTTGCGTTCTGTCTTCGATGATACATTGATGCTGCCGCAAACTATTTTCTAGTTCCTTGTTTCTTTCTAGCAAGGTTTTTCCGAGCTCAGCTGCTAGCTGCAAGTCTGCAACAAACGAGAAAAAACGGAAAAATTTAGTGCGACGGTTATTTTAATCTCATAACGCTGTAATGTGTGAGTAGCCTCAATCGGGTTTTGGCGGTTGAGTCGTGGGTACGGTATTGTGCCGTACTCACGTTACGGAAACAGTTCCCTCGAGACCGGAGCATTCTTACCGGAACAAAAAAATCGTTCCTACAAAAATAACATAATGGAAACACTGGCCAAGGCACAAATTTAAGCATTCTTATACATTTTTCTCCTTCAAAATTTCACTTGGAACACGATTTGCACAATGAAATTCACCGAAATCAACTCTCAATCTAAGAGAATAACGATTTCATTTAGCACCGGTAAGGAAAAATTATAATTTCCCGCTTACAAGAAAAACTGAAGTCTATACTTAAATCAAATTGTGCGACACAACGGTCTTGTAAGGCTTCTTAATCAACCGATGTTACTTTCGTACCATGCGTTGTTCCAAGCATAAACCATAAGCTGAGCCGAAGGGCTGAGATTGAAGTTAGGATACTGTAGAGACTGTCACGGTAATGGGTAGTGTGCGATTTAACTCGAATAGATTATAGTTTGTTTTTTTTTTTTTCACGAGCAAGAAGTTGAAATTCATGCATTAAAAAACTTTGATATATTTTTTAAAAATTACTTTCAGTAATTTTTGTTGTACAAATCGTGTTCTACGTGAAATTTTGATGAGAAAACATACATCATGATGCTTAAAGTCGCACCATGTCCGCGTCTATTGCGCTCGTTGCGGCATTGCGGTTTCTACGGACCGATACTATTCAAGGAAGGCGCTTGCATACAACTTAATCAGCTTGATGGAGGTGCGTGTTGCATACACAAGTCAAATGAAGGCGTTTTGAGAATCCTCACGCACATAACATTCAAGTTCCATTTTAAACTTCATGTTACACTGTAAAAAATCCCGGCTCGCATATTGCGCTCACTCAGTTGTCATTCTGGCCAAGCTGCACTCAGATGACATGGCTTCGGCGCGAAATTAACTCTCAACGAATATCACGGTGGGGGTGAAAATTAAACAGGCAAACGTAAAATTCTTCGTTGACTCCATGTGGACTTGAAAACCCGAATTTCGGTGGTAGAAGACGAGTATTCTACCACTTTGCTGCACATCTCCGGTTCGAATCCACGCTCTTTGGGAGATCTCACTTGATTCGTCGCGTGGATTCCGTCGTTAGCCATCTGATCCGAAGCGGGAGTGCACGGAGAAAAAAAACTCGTGCGTGGGACCCGAAGTTTAGGTCATATGGATCTCTGAAGTTTTCGGATTGAGCATCTGAACACTTTAGGTCTAGCTGCCGAAGTTCGGATCATACATCTGAAACTTCAGTTCTTACATCTGAGGTACTTCGGTTCTCCCATCCGAAGTACTTCGGTTCTCACATCCGAAGTACTTCGGTTCTCACATCTGAAGTACTTCAGATGTAAGAACTGAAGTTTCAGATGTATGATCCGAACTTCGGCAGCTAGACCTAAAGTGTTCAGATGCTCAATCTGAAAACTTCAGAGATCCATATGACCTAAACTTCAGGTCCCACGCACGAGTTTTTTTTCTCCGTGTGATATTCGCGCTGAGCTGATTTTTCGCGCCATTCGCTCGTAGTAAATCATTGATTTTTAACAGTGTATCTACTACTGATAAAGAATACTACTTGAATACTACTACTTGAATTCGCATCTTGTCTACTGCTCCATTTTTTGAGTTTTGCTGAAGCAAATCGAATGTCTACTTTTCTTTCCACGCGTTTAAGTCCCTGAAAACTTCCTTAGAGCTATATAAATTGATCCAAAACTTCCAAAAGACCCTTCCACCCTCTCTAACTTTCATCTCATTGAGCGAAAGGTTTGAAATTCGGAGGATTTTCCTACGTCAAGGAAAGTATGGCCTCTCTAAAATTTTTATGGGGCCTCCCTTTGGGGAGAGGGGGACTTTGTTCCACATGAAAAGCTTGCTTGTACCTCGAAGCCCCCAGACATAGCGGATGGTTGTGTCTGAAACTTTCGGTGTATTGCCTTTTTGTTTTGAATGTTTACTTTTCTTAACGCGCGTTCAAGTCTCCAAGAAGTTTTTCAAAAATACAGAATGGTCCAATGGCCTCTTTCATCCTCTTCTCCTTTTTATCTATTTGAGGTAAAAATTTGAAATTTGGAGGAAGTTTTCAGGTCATAGAGAGCTACTTTCTGCCTCCCAAAAATTTTAGGGAGGAGGGTATTGGACCCTAACATCAAGACCCCCCTTGCGTGAAATCACAAGGGCGGTATTTTCAAATGAAAATACCCCCCCCCCCCCNAAAAAAAAAAAAAAAAAAAAAAAAAAAAAAAAAAAAAAAAAAAAAAAAAAAAATTGCGCGTAAACCCGAATTCATTATGCCGCACCATTTAAAAATGGCGGCTGATTAGAATTCAAAAGGGCCAACAATTTGGACCGATTTTTGGTCGACGGGTTTACCCAAAACTCGGTATCTGGGGGTATTTTGGTACGAGATAAACAAATTCGACGTTAGGTTAGATTTTGAGAAAAACCAAGTTTTTCAAAATGCCAATGTGCGCCTAATGGTCCATTCGGATTATAATTTCAGTCCGGGTCTGAGCTTTGCAAAAGCTGTTCGATTTCTTTCCCCTGTGTCGACTCCTCAAAATATTGCTTCACTATCCAGCGCCTCGACTGTGAGTTGCGAACGAAAAATGATTCGCTTTCTACACCTCCATTGCTTTCGCTCATCAGTCAATCGCCCCGTATTCCTGTTTTCTGGAAACGTGATTCAGGCCGGGAGTGCCGGAGCGCGTGCGCCGCGACTTCAACGCGTTCGATCGACTTCGCAAGTTTCCCTCGTTCAATTTGTCGAGCTTTCAGCTTCAAGTCTAAAGGTCGTTCGACCCGATGCGCCCAGGCTTCGAGCCTCGACAAATCCCTAGCGATGACCACGGGACACGACGCGACGTTAAGTTCCAATCGGATTTGGACGGCGACAAATCGTGCCTGAAAAGTTAATATTTTTCCCATCAGTTGAAATGATCGGATTTAATTCGAATTTTATTTCAATAAACTCTGTTAGATTTTCCCCTGGCATTTCCAGCAGGGTTGCCACAAAATTTAGACAGTGAAATTCCCTGACAAGTCCCTGATTTCCCTGACACTTTTTGGTGAAATTGTTTAACAATTGAAGGTATGACAGATTAGTAGGAAGACGGAATTGAAAATAGTATTCGGGCAAAATTTGTTGTTCGGAGCCTCAAACCTATTCTGGAAAGCAAATTAAGGTGATTTCATCAATTGAAACAGTGAGTTCGAAAACACACCAACTCGGTAACTCGAAAATGTTCAATTTTCATTAAAGACATTAAATTTTTATAAAAGGTATGAATTTAGTGCATTTGCTCCAACTTGGACCTTTAACCTCAACCTTATCCTCAAGTACTTGTCTTTCGGCACCAAAAGTCTTTTTCGTACACTAACTTTTTCACCTACTGTGCAGTGTTGTGTCTGTCTTCATTATTTTCATTTTTTCGAGTTGGTGTGTTTTCGTTCTCACTGATTCAATTTTCCCTGACATTTTTGTAATTTTCCTTGACATTTCCCGGTTTTCCCTGCACACCGAAAAAATAGTATGCTGTTTTAGCACCTATAGGATGTCAAAAATGTGTCTAGTGATCCCAAAATGCTGCCTTTACTGCCCTCGCAGTTAACTGTACATCCTACGAATGCAAATTCAACTGCGTTGGGCAATCAAGGTAGCATCTTAGGATGACCATCCATTCATTGCACTTGCATTTTGGCATTTTTGACATCCTAGGTGCCAAAACAGCATACCATTTTTTTTCGGTGTGACTGGAGCAACCCTGTTTCAGGTTTTCCCCGACATTTTTCCGACAGATCCCGGTTTTCCCTGACATTTTCCCGACAGATCCCGATTTTCCCTGACATTTTCCCGACAGATCCCGGTTTTCCCTGACATTTTCCCGACAGATCCCGGTTTTCCCTGACATTTTCCCGACAGATCCCGGTTTTCCCTGATCGCGGCAACCCTCGTCGAGCAGTTTGTTGCACTCCCGTCGGCGCAAGCCAAGTCTGGCGCCTCCGAAGCACAACGATCCTAATCCCGCGGAGTGAAAGCACCGAGGGAGCTTTTGGCGTGTAAGGTTTCAAAGTCGGGTGCCGTGCGAGCTGCGCGGAAATCAAAACCGATCGGAACTAAATTCGAGATACCGACCCCGCCCGGGCCTCGCATTACTCTAATTCGTCGCTAATCGGGGGCCCTCCGCTCGCACCACGCACCCGAGTCCCGAGTACCTGCACTTTCATCCGGATCACCATCCGATCTCTTCCGAGTGCACTTTCCAAACTGTCGCTTCCAGGCCTCCGATCCGATAAAGTTCACCGGGCCGCGATATGCATATTCGATGATGTATCGACTCGCGTTAATGCAGTCGCGCCGCCCGGGAGCACGTTAACGCTACGACATTGCGTAATAATCCTTAATGAATTTCCTGGAATCCGCGCCGGGTTTCCAACGGAGCGGGAACTTTCGATTGGACCAATGGACCACTGCCGGCTGATTGTTGGAATTGATAGATAAAGCTATAGACAAAGGAGACAAAAGGGATATGGAGGGATTCTATGGATGGAAGCGAGTGGTTGCGATGGACAATGAAGGTATAGATAATGGACTAGCTAATGGTCTCATGGGGGAAGCCATCATTTCTCCATCTTCTGATTCCTTGAATTTCCCAGACCTTTGAAAAAAAGTTCCTTTTTTCCCTTTTAAAAAAAAAATAAATAAATAAAAAAATACGCAGACTTTCGCTAGACTTAGATAAGCAAATGTGTCGGGTATTCTTTAAATTTTCCCGTGAATTCCCTGACTTTTCTCGATCATCCCTAATTCCCTGAATTTCCCAATTTTCGAGACCGTCGGTATTTCTGCACTCATATTTGGACTGCATTTTGCAATAAGGAACTATAA